GTCAGAAAAAGGCATGAAAATAAAGTTTTCACGGAAATACTTGCACTAATAGATCTACAGGCAGAGAATGAGACTGTATCCCATCTGAAATTATTCTCATGATGTTTTTCAGCAATTTTTCGTATTTCTAGAGTAGAAATGTTCTTTTTGTGTGGATCTCATTTCCTTTCGATTGACTACATTAGTACTTAGAAAACAGACATTTTTCTCAGCAGCTGATGCCTGCTGTTGCATGTGTTCTATAAATAATTTTTTGCACAGCATAACGAGAGAGACTAGGCTCTCTACAACGTACGTAAAGAATCAAAGTTCTCGGAATAACTCTCCAGAAAGGATTCCGTATATATTATGTGTGTGAAAAATCAAGAGTTTGTATAAAATGTCACTTTTCCTTCTGTCAAAACTCTCATTGTTGATAAGTGTCTTGCGGTAAATGAATAATTAGGATATCATTTCATAGAGAAATGTTTACTCTGTTTTTAATGTGTTTGGACTTAGATCTATTTTTGTCCCATGAGTTTTTTTGCCCTTTGAAACGAGTCCAACTTTTTCTTTCAAGCCTTCCATTGATTCGCTTCTAACTCCAAAAATATGAAATCTTACAAAAACTTCAAACCTACAAGTTGTCGAAAGAGTACAACATTTTGATTTTACCCTGACATTTGAAAATTTCTGCTATCGCTCTGAATATTTGATCACAAAACTTTCGACATATCTGTAATGAGAATGAAAGTCTTCAAAGAATATATATGTCGTTAAAACTCTTCTTGAAATATAACTTGTTTAAATCAATTTCACAATTATAATATATGGAGTTTTTTTTGTGAAAGATTATCGGATCTATCTGTCAACAAAAAATGAATAATGAAATTATTTGTTTCAGTAACAAATAATTATAACATCTCAATCTTTCCTTCATCTAAACAAATGTTTCAGATTTTTAAACGTGGTTGTATTAATTTTTAATTAAAAAAGATGGATAATCATTGTGCTCTAAAACTTTTAAAAGACACAATTAAAATTCAAGTTTTATTCCTTATGAACAAATGAAATTAATATATTGATTATTACTTGAGCAAACAACTATTGTATAGAAATGTTGAGAAAAATTGTTGTCTATATGCTGTAATAGTAAAACTGGTGCTTCGAATAACTTCAACTTTGCATCATGCTTCAACTAATATCATTATAATAAAATTTATAATATGAGCCGTTTGTTATAATATGTGACGATAATTCTGAAAGTTATTTCATCGAAAAAACATAGGTGGATACATATTGAATAATTTTTGACAGAACCAAGGTAGAGAGGGACGATTTTCTCTTTTAGAACGAGATGGCGATGCATTGAATCGCATTTTATATGAATTTTCAATTATCAGATGAAAATTTGAACGTCTACACAAAATTAAAAGATTTGTCCATTAGGAACATATCAGCTAGAAGACTGTCAAAGGACAAGTGAAATTTGATGTAGTACATCATAATATGTTAAAACATGTATATGTTAATTCTATACCCTCACAGCAATGGTATAAACCGTCTCGTCGGAACCATAAACAGTCTTATTTAAAGGACGGAAGAGTGTTTGGTATGATTTTAATAATTTGATTTTGTCTTCAATGTTGTATTTCAAGAAAAAGAATAAACAAAATATTAATCGAAGTTAAGAACTCTTCTTAGAAAACTCGATTTTTGCCAAAAAAAAGTCGATTTTTGAAATAAACATATGACTTGAGTTGTCTAATTTACAGATTTATAAAAAATAGTGTTGATTTTCGAACTTTTTCAGAAATTTTATCGATAATCTTTGAAATGATCTCAACCAAACGATGATATCTAGAGTAATTCGTCAATTTTTCTTGTAGTGTTAGATTTGCAAAATAAACAAATATTTTTCAGAGATGATCAAATCTTGTGCATTTTAAAAACACACTTTTGAGATCTAAAATGACATGAGGATGTCAATGTAGATCTTCTTTTCATGTATACTACAAACCCTCAAAATAGATATTTTATATAAAATAAAATAGCATATTTCTCATGATTTACTAGTAAAACTTAACTATCAATATTAGTTTTAAGAAATCGTAAGACAACAAGCGAATTGAAAAAATTAATTTTTTACTTTTGGGTCTTCCTTATGTTGTTGAATCGTATAACAAATATGAAGGTAATGGCAGGTAGCATCATCTATTGTAATGCCTCTCCTACGAGGATAGTCTAATGCACATAGATAGGTGCTTCGATTGACATGTAATATAATTACACTTCACCTCCATTTTAACTCAATAATAGGAAGACTATCTAAATAAACAATAAATTCTTTTGCGTCGTTCCATAATGATCAAAATGCAGACTAACTTTCCTCGATATACTTCATTCCAGGCAGCTGTGTTGTTTTTAATCGATAGATATATGCTTAGTGCTTTAGATGAGCGAAAATAATTTTATAAGTAATCTTCAATGCAAGATAACTCCTGAATTTTATAGATTTTTCATATTCTGATGGTTCGATAAATGACTCGTATTAAAAAACTAAAATAACACATCTCTTCATTCAAAGTGGTAAGAAGTTTTCTTTCAAATGAAAGTAATTCAAACTCTATCACTTAGTCACTAAAAAATCACCTCAATGGCAAAGTATGTACTTGTTGAAATTAGATTTTTGAGAGAGACTCTTAGTAGCAGTATTATTTTGAAGACATAAAACGCATTATTGACATAACTAAAATAACATATTATAATCATCATTGAATAATTACTATATGTTTAATGGAATTTTGACTATTCTTTGGTTTTTGATGATATGAGAATGATTTTATCACAAGAATTTTTACACAAAAAGAAAAATACAATAAATAGATATGTATCAGAAATTTAATCTTTGAGAATACTAATTATTTTCGAGCACCGGCTTTAGCCAAACGATCAGCTTCATCATTTCCTTTGTTTGATGAATGACCAGGTACATATGTCTGAATATAAACAAGAAATAATAATTTATTTCTATTTTATATAAAAATTTTTATTCGAAATACCCATTTAATTTTAAGTCTTTGTTGAAGTTCATCAATTTTCACCATTAAATCTTTATTCATAACCGGTTTTGAATCAGTTTTTTTAATCCAATTTGATTTTTTCCATCCTTGAATCCATTCAGTAGCAGCTAAATTATTCAGATAAATTTAATTATTTTAATATAAATATGTTCTTTTTTTCTTTTTACATACATTGTATGGTATATTTACTATCCGTACGAATTTCTAAATGGGTTATACTATTTGATAAAGCTACTTCCATGGCACTAATTGCTGCCTAAAATAAAAATAAAAATGTAGAAAAGATTTTTTTTTTCTACACTTTATCCTCATACTGTCAATTCAGCTCGTTGATTGGTTTGATCTCCTTGTAAGCGTTCACTAATATTCCTATAAAAATATTTTTGTATAAAAAACTGGTTAATACAATAAATTTGAAAATGAATACGAGACTGATTTTTTTTTGTCTCGAATATATTGATATTTATGAAAATCAATTACAATTTTCTATGCACTCACCATGGATGATCATCATCCCAATAAACTCCATAACCACCTTTTGATCCTGAACGACCATTACCAAAACAACAACCATCCGAATAGACAATTGTATATTCTCCTTTAGCTAATAATAATAGTGAATAAATAAATCAAGTCATCTTTCTTGGTTTTTTTCTATTACCCTGATCATTATTAGTATCTGACATTGTTAATTTTTCATAAGATGAAACCATTGATATTGACGAACATTCTTGAATAGTGTCTTTTATTAAATTAATTGGAGTATTATTTGATATTTTAGATTTTGATGTAGGATATTTTGTTTTAAAATTTCTTTGTATTTTTACTTTACCATCTAAATAATCTTGAGCATCGGAATGTTTATCAAATTTTCTATATTCCGCTAAAAAATAAATCATTTCGAATAATTTTTTTCTACGTTCATATATCTAACCTCCAGTAAATCGATTAACTTGTTCCTTACATTCATCCCTAAATAAAAAAAAAAAATATCAATCATCATTAACGAAATAGAACAGTTTTGTGAAACACGATGTAGTTAGAGTTTTGAAGTATCGAAGTAGAAATTTAGTTTCTCATGTGTTAACTCAGTGAAAAATAATGTACAGACTATTTTTATGTAGTCATATCGAAGAATCATTAGACACTGAATCTGTCTGATTTAAATCAGTTAAATTATAATTTATTGTAATGAACTGACAGGAACTGTATTGGAACCACATAGTGACACTAATAAACGAAAGGAAACATACTGTCAAGAAAAAAAAACATTCTCTATGCTGGATCTTAACTGTACGATTAAATTTTAAGCAAAAAATAAACAAAAATATAAAACTTCAAGGGCTATCTTTCGATTAAAAAAACGTATTTCAATCAAATGAAAAGTAGCGGGGAGATATTAAAAAATAGAAGCAGACTAATTTATTCTGCGGCACGTATTGTGTGAATCACTTCCTTATTTCATATGGAGAGGATGTTGAAGAAAATGTGTTTTAAAATAGATAGAATAAAGTAATCTCCTGTTATTATCAACAGGAGCTACATCGTATTTCACATTCTAATCCCGTAGGGATTGCACTAACAATTTTTTTTTGTTTTCTACTAACCAAGTTTTATAGATGCCGGGTTTTCTGCCCTGACGTACAACGTAGTAGGGCATTTGTCGAAGAATAAATGATAAATACACTTTCAATTATTAGATTTTTTTCCCAATATAACCAGTGTCGCCAAACAGCTGAGTATAATAGTCGACAGAAAGAAACGAACGAAAAAAAAAAAAAAAAAAAAAAACAACAAATTCTACTGACGTATGTATAGAGTGTCAAGAGAAGGCCACATGGTTGCATTTATCCAATCATATATTTTTGTATATTATTCTACAGAATAAATATATAATTTTTTAGATGATCAATGCATAGCTGTGATCTAAGTACCTGTATGTCATCAATAAAACCTACGGCTCGACTTGTAGCTGTCTGTCAAAAAGAACAAGTGTCATCGTTTGATAAACGTCAAATACCAATTAATATTGATGAAAATCTTATTGTAAGTCTTTTTCTTTGATTTAATATAAAAAGAAAACGAAATTCATATAATTTTTATTTTATAATTAGATGAAACTTCAAGTTGATGATTCTTGCATAAAGTGTGATCATCATTGTTGTAATAAGAAAGTCAAAAATTATGAAACATTTATTAATGGATATAAAAAATTAACTTTGGATGAATTAAATGATGCTCTATGTGTACCTAGTACTCAAATAAAAGAATATATTCTTCATAGTGTACCTTGTATTGGTTGTCGAACAAGGTTTGATTCAAAAATTTTCTATTTTTAAAATAAATTAATTTTATTATATTTCTTATTAGTATTGAAAATTTTATAAAATCTCTAATAGAACATCATCATTCAGGACTTGAACCACTTGTTATGAATGAAAAAGGATCAATAACTCTAACAAAAATATATAGTTCTAAACCAGATAATATTTATTCATTATTCTATATTCATGGGTATAAAGAAAAAGAAGAAGACGAAGATTAAATTGAATTAATTATAATTTCTTTTTTGGAATAGATCGAAATTAACTTCATTTATTGAAAGTATTCCAAAATCGAAAAAGAATCGTCGATGTATTATACATTCATTAGATAAATCGAAATCAATTAAGTAAAAAGAAAAAAGAAAAATTGATTTAAGCAAACAAATTTTTTCTATATATTTTTATTTCTAGTGATTGGGAAATCGTTTGGGATGCAATGAATGATGAATGTCGGGATACAGTTACATTAGTCGAAGCTGATTGTTTGCTTGATACACTTGAAAATTATCTACATAAACATAAGTATGATTTAAATAGAAAATTGAATATTCATTGTTTTTATTGATATTATATGTTTATAAATAGATTTTGTTCGGAATGTAAACTTAAAGTATTAGAAGCATATGATATTTTATTGGATAATACAGATAATAAACATCGAGATAAAAAAGGATATTGTCCAGCTTTATATGAAGGTAAAATAATTGATTATTGTATTATTTTATAAAGTTTTTGTAGCAAATTAACAGAAGAACTTCATTAAAGAAATTCGAACATGCATATCTGATTCAAATATGACTAAATTAAAATCATTTCTTCTGTAATCGTACTTTGTATAGAGAGTTAGAATTGAATAATTCAAAGATCAATCAAACATAAGACATTGAAGTCAATTGTATGTCTATCTTTTATGAATTTTTCAGTGTTTCATCAACATTACATATAGTGAAATTTGTATTCTTTAATAATATCTTTTGTATTGATCATAGAACATTTAGGCATTCATTATGAACTTTCAAAAATCTTCCTATTTCGGAGTTTTAAGTTTAAAAACATTGAAAATAGTAATATCATTAACTAAAATTTCTAAATGATGAATTCAACTTGTACAAAACGAATATGATTTTCATTTAAAATATTCAAAGTAAAAAGGGTTCACGTCGATGGGCTTCTTCGGTAGTCGAGCTTTGATCGTTTTACTAAAATTTTCGATCCAATATTAAGTTCTGACATTTTTAGTTGAAAAAGAATGTCTTATTTTTTTTTGTGGAAATTCGATACTTCAACAAAAGAAAAAAAAAAGCATTCTTTTTGACTTAAATCATCAGAATATTTTATTTTTTTTCAAAATAATTTGTTTATTTCTAGGATTACGATCATGTACTAATGATAAACACATTCATATTGATTCTAATAAAGTATTTATTGGTAATTTAATTGCACGAGCAGAATCTGAAATTCAAGATAGTCGACGCGAACGTCATGCTAAAACATTAGATATAGCACAAGAAGAAATTTTAACTTGTATTGGAATTTATTTATTTGAACGATTTGATAAAATCTATCGTACAATGCGATCAGAAGAACAAACATGGCAATTATTATTTTATATTAGTATTGATTGTTTAAGATTAAGTAAATATTTTAATGAATAATACTTTGTTTTTTTGATATATTGTTTAAAAAATCAAATATATATATATATATATTAATTTAGATTTTGAAAAAGCTCTTGATCGTAAACAAGATTTTAGTATGACATTACAAATTTTATGTGAACAATTTCGTGAAGTTGATGAAATAAAAATACAAAAAAAACAACAAAAACGATCCAAACGTAAAGCTCGTCGTCAAATAAAAATGAATGAAAATAATGAAGTTTGTATTTTTTTTGTTTTTTTTTTTTGAAAACTAAATGAATTCTTTGTCATTTTTTGACTAACAAATAATTTTAGGTTAAACCAAATAAAATAACAAAAAAAATTGATGAAAAAAAAATTTTATGTACAAATTCTAATGATAATAAACAAGAAATAGTAACACGTCGTCGAACAAGCAGTTGTTGTTCTTGTTTATGTCATTATTGTGATGAACGATCAAAATCTCTAACAATTAGTCATACAACAATACCATTAATATCATTAGTGAAATCACAATCATGTCCATCATCATTACTTTTTACATCTGAATGTGTAGAAAAATCATCACATCAAGTTATTAATGGACAAACTATACCATTATCAAGTTCACTTGAAACTCTTCTTTCATCTGTTTCAACAAGGGAATGTGTTTGTCATGATAGAAATTTAGGTAAATAAAATTAATTTTTTGTTTTATTTTTTTTTTGAATAAAATTTTTATTACTTTTCTTTTTAAAGAAAAACAACAAGTGTCGTGTGATGAATGTCCAACATCATCATCGATATCATGTATTCGTTGTTCTAGTACACGAACTGATCTTGGTTATTCTTCAGGTAAATTCGTATACATAATATTATCGATAATATCAGTCATTGATGAATGTTTCGATGAGATTAAGAAAGTTTTAAAGGAAAGGTTTGTTAAGTGATTTTTCACTTCTTTTTTCTTTTTATCTATGACGAGCTTCTAACCATAATTAGCATGAGACCGATCAGTTTTTTTTTGAAGGACTAAGACTAACCTATTTTGCTCGTTTTTAATAATTTCTATGGTTTTAATAATAATAAAAAAATCATTCATCGTAAGATGAGAATCTTGGTTCATGCTATCTGTCATAATAAGAAAAAAAAACTTGCAAACATATTTGTAGATCCCAATTCGCAGATTATTTTTTGTTTTATCGTTTAACTATGCGAGTTATTGTTATTTACATACCACAATGGACATGTAAATATTTTTTCTTCAATTTTAGGGCAAGATGAAACTTGTTCATTTAGTCCTTGTGAATGTTCATTGACATGTGATGGATGTTTAACTGAACGTAAGAATTTTGATTTTTCAATAATTATTATAAATAAAAATCAATTTTTGTTCTTTTTTTTTTGTTTTTGAAGTATCACATTGTTGTCCAGTACATGAAGAGGATGAGAATAGTGATGAACATGGTGAATCTGTTTCACCTTGTAATTCTGTTTTGTCCAGCCGTATCTGTAGTCATAATTGTTGTATTCATAATGCATTAATAGGTAAAAATTTATATTTATAATTAATTTATTAAAAATAATATTCATTTTTCTAGATGCTAAAAAAACAATTGAATTATGTGATACTACGAGAAAACATATCCTTAAAGTAATTAGATATTTAGAATTTTTTGCATTTTCTAATATAGATTTCTGTGCACATACTCTACCAAAAATGATCAATATCGAGTGCTACTGCAAGTTTCTTTTGATCGAATCCATGACGTTTTCTTTATATTTTAATAAATAATTAGAACATTTTTGATGATCGTTCTGTATTCAAGAGATGTATTCATTTCTTAGAAGATTTTGTTCTTCGAATTCTCTGCACGTCTTTTTCTGAGATTTATTAGCAAGCTTTTCTTATAGTTTGAACTTAATTCATTGAACTATGATTGAGTTACGGATAGACTTTCTCTTTGATTAATAATTACAGTATGATTCACAAAGTTCTTTTTCAGAGTTATGAAATTCAACAAAATAATAAGTACTATCCAATAGTATTCATCATAATTCTCTTTATTACTGTAGCAATCGAGATACGGCTTAACCTCTGATTGACATTCTTGATGAAATATGCGCACAAAAATTTTTAAACTTTCACCACAAATAGTAGTTGAGGTCGGACGGGTTAAAGACTTCTGTTCACTATTATATATATAAATGTTTTATTATAGGTACAATTATCTCAACAATATCCATTCTTTCATATGGATCTGAAGCAAACTTGGGTAAAATTTAATATTTTAGTTAATCGATTCAAGACTTTGTTTCGGTTTTTTTTAGGATGAAAATCCATCAACGGATATGGAAAGTCAACTATTTATATCCGACGATGATCTTCGTCAATTTTTAATGCTCAATAAAAATTTTGATGTAGAACGTTCGCAATTACGAGATATTTTCAAGTTAAAATTTCAAGCATGGAAACAACGTCTACCATATAAAGCTTAAATAAAAATACATTTTTTTTTCTTTGGTTTTTTTTTTCTTAGTTTTTTGCTTCTGTTTTTTTTTCATTTTCTTTCAAACATATAAAAGTGAATTTATTGATTATTATTACATAATCTGCACTCTGAAAAACATTTAAAAAGAAAGAAGAAGACGATTTACATTAGGCAAAATTTTCTTTTTTTCTTCTTTTCATTTACTTTCGCTATTATTTTTCTTTGGCCTTTTGTGCACACAGCAATGTTCGTTTGTTTTCATTTCTTTTTTCGACACATACATCTTTATATGTATGTGAATGAAGATGATCTTATAAAACAAAAGAATATATTAGTTATTATTTAATTTATTCACTATGAAAATGTTTATAAAAATAATTAAACTAATGAAATATTATTTTCAATGATTTATTATGCATCGATCGACTTTTGGTTTACTTTCAATCAGTTCAAATAATATTACTCAATTTGTTCGGAATGACTATGATGAATAGTAGTCGAGAAAAATTAGTTTTTTTCTAAATATATGTATCACTAAGTCACCGAACGTACTGAAGAATGGCTCATCTCAAATATTTGAAACTTTCAAGATAGATAAATCTCGACGAGTAGAGCAAAAGTTGTCATAGTCTCCAAATTCCCATATACTTTCTTCAAGAAAATATCTAATTTACAAAGCCTAAAAATCGCCTCACTATTTCAGCCGAAACACATCTCATAATTTTCATCTCTTTCCTTTTAAATATAAAAATCAAAATACGGAACATACCTCCACAAGTACATGGCTTGTTTGTAAAATTTGACAGGTATCAGCGGTACGATATTTTAAAAAAAATTAGGCATCCGATATAATACCTAAAAAGCTGCAGTTCCAACTTGATCGAGCGTAGTAAGTTAGAGAAATGGCTTTTTCCTCTAACTAAAGTGGTCGAAAATAAGCCATGTTAGAAATTATGATTAGAAGAATTTCGCATACAAAGAATAATCAGAGTGCGAGTTCTTGTGCTAGGGAGGATTTCGAGAGATGGCTATAATAAAAGTACTAAATAACAATGAAGAGCTCTCATTTATATAGCATTTGACAGAGAAGTCAGGTCAGTCGCATCCATATATCATTATATAGCCATTTAATTTTAATAACACTGAAGTTTCACAAATATTTCAAAAGTCTTTTGAGAATAAATAGAAATCATGATGCAATTATTTACTTTAGTAAAGCTGTAAATATTATCATATTAATAGAAATTGTTAGTTTTCGAAAGTTTAAGAGATTATTCGAGTTTATAGGAACTCAAATAATAACATATATCCTTGTCTCTCTCTTGTATACATTTAATTCGTATGATTTTCAATGATTTTAATAACACGTATAAGTGTTATTCTTTCTTGTTGACAACTAATAATTATGAATAATAACATGAACAATCCCTCATCTAGTATGACTTTGGTACTAAGCAGTAAACAAAGACTGTTTTTATTGTGTTTCTTTTTTTTATAAAAAATAAAAAAAAGAAATGCTTTAACATTGTCTATCTTTCATTAATTGTGTAGCTTGTCAATTTTATACTTCTTTTCAATTCATTTCTTTGTCTTTCTCTACATACAAATTCTTCAACTTTCTTTTTCGTCTCCATTTAACAACCGTTATATGAACATCTATTAAAATGTGTTCGATAATGTATTCGACTACTTGATCAAGTGTTTTTCAACTTTATAACAAGACAAAGAAAAAAAGAACAAGTCGGCAAACAAAAGTAGTTTTCATTCAATTCAATGTATATGTTTGTTGATTAATCATCATCATCATTACACCCGGCAGCAGTTATGTATAGAACTCTACAATAAATTTATTTTCATAAAAATTTTATATTATTATTGATGCTTAGTTGTAAAAAAAAAAAGTATAATTATCTGTAAGAAATTATTTATATTTATGATAATAGTAAAAGATATTGTTGTCAAGGTTAGATCTATATAATTATATATCATACCGTTAACCTTCGTAATGAGAGCAAAAAAGAAATTAATTAAAAAGAAGATGCACAAAATCGAAAGGTATATGTATGTGTGACCACCTGATTGTTGCATACGACTAGTTCATTAAAAAATTATAACGAGCATTGCAATATAGAATAAGTGAATGTCTCCATGTATATTTGATTTTGATTGTTATTTACAACGTCATGTTAATTTACAATATAATATACAACTCCTACAGGTAAAAGAAGTAAACACCAATACAAAACTGAATATTGAATCTATAATAGATTCTTTTCAAATTGATCATTAATTTTATTTTTGAAATACTTTAAATATAACGAATCCGCTCAATTATTTCTTCTAGATTTTTTTTTGTTTTGCTTAACTTAGATTAAATCTTTCGATATCGTACATATTTCTTCTACTAGTCCATCCTCTTTTTTTTCAATATCTTCTCTTGCAATAGTATATGATAATTTATCTATGATTAAATATCTCTCGCCTCATTTATACATCCGAACAACGTATCATCCCCGATCAATCAATTTCTTTTTTGGCTCGCTTTTCGTATTCAACTAATGTACATTTTCTCTTCACACTGATTGGCTTATTAATGCATATACTTACAAATTTAAAGAAAAAAAAAAGCAAGAGAAAAAGAAAAAATCGTTTATGATGATTAAAAACAACCTCTTTGCTTTTAACATTACTGTCACCTAGTCACAAGCATAAACATACACACCCTTGCGCTTATGCGTATATGTATGCATCGTTCGTTTTTTTCTATTAAATATTTGCAAAACAATTATCACACAAGAAAATCGGCAATCACCAAGCATAGACATCGTCACCGATTGGTGGAATAAAAAGAGAGAAAAAGAGAAAAATAAAAAAAAAAAGAAGAAGAAATAGAGAGACAAAAAGAGAAGAGAGAAAAAGAGAAAAGACGAACACGATCGATTAACGACTACATTATTGACTACAGACTGTCAAAAGAAAGTAAAAGTAACTGAAATTGAAAGCTACGCAACAAACAAAACAATGTATCAACTTCCGCATTATTCTGATGCGCTGAAACAATTTCCATCGGCTGCACTAACAGCCTATTTTTCTAGTGGAGGTGGTGGTGGTAATACAAGTGGTGTAAATCCACTAGTTACTACCGGTGGTCATCATCCATTGGCTGCAGCTGCAGCAGCTGCTGCTGCTGTTGTTTCACATAATAATCCATTTTCTATTGATAATATACTTGCTCCACGTCCACGATTACCAGTACCATTATCTCCTTATTATGGTACAACATCAGCAAGTACTGCTCAAGCTGCTGCCGATTTTTATTGTAAGTATATACAGCGTGAAAGAGATATTCATTTTTTTTCCTTTCTATCTATAATCAACAATGAATACAAAAGGTGTTAGAGCGAAGAGTTATGATATATATATGTATATATACTTTCTCGGTTTTTTTTCTTTTGTATATTTGCTTATGATAAACGTGTTTAATTGTTGGTATGGTCAGTGATTCATTATAACTAGATGTTTATTTCCGAATCGTCACCTGTTTTAGTAATAACGTCAAGTTATTGATGTTATTATATTCAATAGAATACAAAGTTCAAAGAGCAAAAAAAAAAATGATTGTTCATGTAAATATACAATGATTTTATGCTATCGGGCACACTCTATAAGATACAAGTTAATTATAAAAATTTTCTTTGAAAGAAAAGAAATAGTTTAAGAATTAAAATAAATAAATAAATAATGTATTAATTCATTGATTCTATTTATTTAAAGCATATCCTGCATTACAAAATTTTTTTGCTGCTGCTACAATGGCTCAAAATCATAAACGAAAACGACGACATCGAACTATTTTTACTGAAGAACAACTTGAACAATTGGAAGAAGCTTTTAATCGAACACATTATCCTGATGTTATGATGAGAGAAGGTAAAAAGAAAAACATATCTATTTTTAAAAATTTAATAAGGAAAATTTTTGCTTTGTTTTAATTTTAGATTTAGCAATGAAAATTGATCTTAAAGAAGAACGTGTTGAGGTAAAATAATTGAATTTAAAAATCATTTGTTATGAATATCTACTAGATTTTTGTTCTTATTTTAATAATTGACTTTCGAAAATAAGATGAAAAAATGAATTTTGCCTATTGGGCTTATTAGAAACCATGAGAAGCTTTTATCAGTATGTTAGTCTAATGGAAGAAAGCACTTGGTCACAATGTCGAGTGGTTTAAAAATCGTATTCATTTTCTTTATATCTTGTATAAAAAAAGAAAAGAAGTTGATTTCTCACACTGCCTCTGGCTGACAATACAATCGATCGTTCGATTGTTGTTGTTGACATGACGACTTTTCTGGTATATTGTTAGTATTGCTTCTTGTCTAAAAGAATCATATATGAATTGACTTCTATTGACAGAAGCAATTGCACGATTTAGTTCATCGTTTGCCAATTATCCGCTGATTGCTGACTAAATAAACTTGATTGAGTCCAAATGAAAGCAAAAGACACACAGAGAGAGAGAGAGAGAAAGAGATCAGCTACTCATAGTGAAAAGTGATGACAAAAGAGAAAAAAATATGAGTGACGAAGCCGGGATCATCCAAAGACAAATCCAGTATGCATTCCATGTTCTCACCCTTATGTCAAGAGATTTTTTCCATTTCCTTTTTAATGCCGCCAATTCATTTCTAGGCTTTGTATTCCATTACATCCGATTGCTCTTTTCTTTGTTACTCAAATAGATCTTTATTCTACGATATTAATAATAATTTCTATTTGTTATTATTTTGTTTTCGTATTGTTCAATGATGCATTTCTTCTTCTTGTCTATTGCCGCTAATAGGCTAATAACTCACACAAATACATGATGGTGCCACCATCAATATCAGTTATATTTCAATGTTTATATGTGATCAAATGAATGAATATATGTATATCAATATATATATATAAATCATTTGTACACTTCCGGAAAGTAGTCAATTGTTGGTTGATATGTTATCG